GGTCTGCGGGACGATTTCGAGCGGAAGCTCCGTCCTGGGACCGCTCGATGTCGAAGATGTTGAGGAGCTCGACCAGGTACGGGCTGTTGAGCTGGCCCTTGAACTGCTCCCAGGAGATGGCCTGGTCGCCGCCGCCGTTCACGATCCCAGCGGCGCTCGGCGAGCCGCACTGGTCGCCGAGGGACCTGGTGGACGAGGAGACGGCGTTCTGGAAGATCTCCTTCATGCGCCCGCACAGCTGGTTCTCGCGCTCCGTCTCGTTCAGCCGCTTGGCTCCCTCCTGGAGCCAGCGGGGGAAGAGGGGGGGGGGAGGGGGGAGGGCAATCCGCGCCGCGCCGCGCGAGAAGCCTGCTGCGGATCTTCATTCCCCCGCCATCCTCTTCCTCCGTGGCTGCGCGCCCAAGGCGGCTGGGGCAGAGGGGGGTTGGCAGAATGATGGAGGCTCAAGAAAGCAAGCACTTGTGGCACAAATGGGTTATCAATGCGGTTCGATCCGACACCACATGGGGGATCAGTCTACAAAAATCAACGTTCAGCCAGCGAGCGGGCGGGCGGTTGAGCGGGCGGGGGAGAGCGGGCGCGCGGGCGAGCTGGCGCACAGGGCGCGCGCGCGCGGACGCGGGCGCGGGCGAGGGGAGCGGGCGGGCGGGCGCGTGGGCGAGCGGCCGGGCGGGCGGTCGCGTGGGCGGACGGGTGGGCGGGCGGACGGGCGAGCGCGGCCGGGCGCGCGTGCGCAAGAGTGAAAGAATAGGTTGCCATGTTGGCAGGCCAAGAATAGAGCAGAGTTCTATGTGTTTCCGACCCCCCAACCCCTGCGCTGCCGCGTGACAAGTGGAGCGAAGTAGAATTCGCGTCGCCCCCATGCGTTGCTCCGCGACGGACGAAGCAGAACAGGTTGCTGTCCGCCTACCTGCGACACCATGTGCAGAGTAGGCATAGACTAATATGTGTTCCGCCACCCCCCTGCGTTGCCATTTGACGACTAGCATATATGAATCGAACGTTCCGCACCCCCCCCCGCCCAGCCATGTGGCGAGTGGAATTGGCTATTGTGTTTTCCGCTCCCTTCCGTTGCCGCGTGACGACTATGAGATGCAACATACGTTCCCCACGCACCCTGCATTGCCATGTGACGGCTCAGCCCTCCACGGAGGTCTCTGAATTCACTTGCCCCGCGGAATATTTATTCGCGTCGATCCGCTGCGTCGCGCCCCCCGGCAAGGGCATAATGAAATTCAGATGCGATGAGGCCTACACCTCTGCAAATAGCACATGGCGCCTCGCTTGGTGCACCTTCCAGCTGCCGCTCCACGCGCGCGTGCGCTACACGATCCCGACACTGCGCATGAAAAATATGGCCACGCTTAAGCCTCCAAGCCTTGTCGTGGTATACATATTCTTACAGGCATATGGCAACTTTGGTGAAATCACCGTCACGCATGATCGCTGGCGTTGCTGATGGCCCGATGCGCGCCTGTCGATCAAGCGTGGATTCCCCCATCTGATATCGGCCAGGTGGGACTGCAGGTGCTGATCCCGTCGCAACCGCTGTTGACAGACTCATGGCGGGTTGCCCCGCAGCTACAGGAGCAGCGGGCGCCCCCGCACGATTCATCACGCGGCGTAGCTGTCGCTCCTGATCACGTCGTTGGCGAGCCAGTTGCATTGAGGATGGCCAATATCTCGGGGCGCAGCTCTCCCATCGACGCAGGTGCCACCAGCTCTGGACCGCGTTGACTCACTCCTCGGTTCACGGGGGCTGCCAGGTACCCACAGTGGGGCACCTGGCCTGGGATACCGGCCTCGTAACTATCCAGCTCCCCGTGTTAGCTGGGACCTATAGAAATCGTCGGCTGTCGCCCGAACGCACGGGCTTTCGGGTTGAATGCCGACCCGAGGGATACCCGTCGCCTGTGCATAGTAATCAGGAAACATGGGCGCATCCATTTTTGGTCCCACAGGCCTCTCAGCAGCCGTCGGATCGTAGATCGGCCGGCTGAAAAACGCTGGTATGTATCCATGAATCCCACCAGCCCTTTGGGCGTGAGTGGTTTAGCGAGTCCTCTCTGTTCTCAACCCCCCTTCTTCCCCTTCGGGGAGGGGTTTACCCCTCCCCCTACCCCCTCCCCCTGGGCCTGGAGAGGTCCTTTCGCGGGTCGGCAGGGGGGTCATTTTCGACTCCTCGGAGGGCTAAAAAACGACACCCCTCACGAGGATTCTGGCCCCGACGGGGGGGGGCAGAAAAAACCCTCTCCTCTTCTTTGAAGCGAAAATCATTGATTTTACTACGGTTTTGGCCCCATCTTGGCCTTCTGAGGGGGCAGCGCTCATTAAAGCTGCCCTCTTCCTGCAAGGCAAAATCATTGATTTTACGAAGGTTTTGGGCTCATTTTGCCCTTCTGAGGGGGCAGCGCTCATTAAAGCTCCCCTCTTCTTTGATCCATCCCCTCCAAGATGGCCCCAAGAAGCGCCCAGGAGGCACCAAGAGGCCCCAAGATGGCCCCAAGAGGCCCCCAGGAGGCCCCCAAGAGGCCTCCAAGAGGCCCCCAAGATGCCCCCAAGAGGTCCCCAAGAGGCCCCAAGAGGCGCCGAAGACGCCCCAAGAGGCCTCCAAGAGGCTCCCAAAAGACATCTACTACTACTTCTACTACTACTACTACTACTACTACTACTACTACTACTACTACTACTACTACTACTACTACTACGACTACGACTACTACTACTACTACTACTACTACTACTACTACTACTACTACTACTACTACTACTACTACTACTACTACTACTGCTACTACTACTACTACTACTACTACTACTACTACTACTACTACTACTACTACGAGTACTACTACTCTACTACTACTACTACTACTACTACTACTACTACTACTACTACTACTACTACTACTACTACTACTACTACTACTACTACTACTACTACTACTACTACTACTACTACTACTTTACTACTACTACTACTACTACTACTACTACTACTACGATACACTACTCTCTACGACTACGACTACGACTACACTACTACTAACTACTACTACTACTACTTAATTACTACTACTTACTACTACTACTACTGACTACTGCTACTACTACTACTACTACTACTACTACTACTACTACTACTACTACTACTACTACTACTACTACTACTACGACTACTACTACTACTACTACTACTACTACTACTACTACTACTACTACTGCTGCTACTGCTACTATTGCTACTGCTAGTACTACCACTACTAATCCCACCAGCCCTTTGGGCGTGAGTGGTTTAGAGAGCCCGCTCTGTTCTCAACCCCCCTTCTTCCCCTTCGGGGAGGGGTTTACCCCTCCCCCTACCCCCTCCCCCTGGGCCTGGAGAGGTCCCTCCGCCGGTCGCCGGCGGGATCTTTCTCGACTCCTGGGAGGGGTAAAATTCGACACCCCTCACGAAGATTCTGGCCCCGACGGGGGGGAGGGAGAAAAGTGTTTCCCCCATCTGTGATCGATCGCCCGACAGATGGCCCCAAGATGCCTCCCAGACCCCTCCCAAAGAGCCCCAAGAGGCCCCAAGAGGCCTCCAAGAGGCCCCCAAGATGCCCCCAAGAGGCCCCCAAGAGGCCCCAAGAGGCTCCCCCGAGGCACCCAAGACGCTCCTGGAAGCCCCTGGGGCCGCCAAGAGGCCCCCGAGACGCCCCAAACGGCCTCCAAGAGGCTCCCCAGGGGCCCGAAGAGGCTCCCCCAAGGCACCCAAGACGCTCCTAGAAGCCCCTCGGGCCGTCAAGAGGCCCCCAAGACGCCCCAAAAGGCCTCCAAGAGGCCCGACTCACACCACCAAGAGCCCGAACGACTCACACCAGAAGGAGGGGCCCGAACGACTCACACCAGGACGAAGCGCCCGAACGACTCACACAACGAGGAGCCCGAACGACTCAAACCACGACGAGGGCCCCGAACGACTCACACCACGAGGAGCCCGAACGACTCACACCAGGAGGAGGGGCCCGAACGATTCACACCACGAAGAGCCCGAACGACTCACACCAGGAAGAAGGACCCGAACGACTCACACCAGGACGAGAAACCCCAAACGACTCAAACCACGAGGAGCGCTTTCTCTCCCTCCTCCTCCGCCTCGTCCTTCTCCCGCTCCCACCACAAGGAGGATGTACAAGGAGGCGGGAGGAAGGAGGAACAGGGGAGATATGCGGGGGCAGGCGGAAACACGCCTGAAAAACACGACTGTCGGCATGCTTCGCAAGAGTTGCTGTTTTGAGATGGGCTGGTGGGGATACGCGAAGCGTGAAGAATTTGGATGGTCCGGCGATGGATTAGCATCTGGAACATACTCCCAAGGCGGGGTCCAGCTGGCGTTCGGAAGGTCAATTCCGCTCCGCCGCATGCTCTCCATGGCCTCGCGCACCTGCCTGTGCATCCACTGCTGCTGCCCCAATGAGCTCTCGGCCCTCCGGGCAGCCTCCTGGCCCGCAGCGGCAGGTTGCCCCGCAACAGCTCGCGGAGATGCACAGGGCGCTGTGGCTTGCATGGCTTGGTAGAGTTGAGGGTCCATCCTGATGCCTTGGAGTCTGGCCTGCAAGCTGTTGGCACTCCCAACACTCTGCGGAGTGCCGAATGGGGCCGCGGCCCTGCTCACGGGCGCGAATGCGGCGGGCGGCCCCGCAGGAACAGGCAGCTGCTGCAACTGATTACGCCACGGGCCGCTCGCATAAAGTCCGCCGTTCAGCGCAACCCCGCTGGGTGTCATGCCAGACAAATAAGCGCTCTGAGATTGGGTCCATGACCCACCCGAGCCCCCCGCAGGTGCCCCCACTTGGTACACATATTGCATCATGAATATAGAGGCATGTTCCACCTCCGCCGAAGGTGTCGGAATGAGGACATTGAGATTGCAGGGTGTACTGGGCACAATCCATCCTCTCAATGTGGAAGCATCGCATGGATATTCGTACCATTCCGCTGGCATAGGATTGGGGCTTTGCAGGTTACCCCACTCGTTGTCTTCAAACTACAGCTCGTTGGCCAAAACCTGCCCAACTCGAGCGCAGTTGCACTGGGCATCGATAGGCTTGATTCCAGCGGGTTGAACCATGTGACTTGGCGGAAGCCTGCCATTGATACCCGACGCCATGATGACGCTGTCGTTGGCAGACCGCCAGACCGGGATGTTGTCGCGAAGTAGATTCTTGAGGCTCACCATGATCGAAACTTCGGAGTCCATCCGCAGGCCTGACTGAATCCACCCATCCGCAAGCAAATATGGGCATCCGCGAATCATCTGCCTGCTTTTCCTTCTAGGATTGTCCTCGCTGCGGCAGGACAGGCCAACATGCATTATGTTCGGGGCGTTTATCCATTGCGCACCGTGGATGAAGTAGCATGGAGCTCCCGGTTCGTTCAGGTCTGTTACCCGTGAATACAAGGATTCTGGGCATTTGACGCCTGGACTTCTGCGCCCACTGCCGGGGCGCAGGAAAATACGTCGGGCGGGCTTCCCCGCGGAACTTCAGCTTCTTCACCTGGAGTCGATTCTTCTGCATGCCGGAATTGTCGAACATCTCGCATAGTTCAAGCACGGCCAGTGCTTGATATGCCCAGTGTCGGCCTCGGAGGCATTTCTTGG